TATAATAATGCAATTCCATTACATACTCGTTAATATTTTCTTGGACTTTAGTTGTTTAACAAGATAGATAATTCCAGTGACTATATTGTTCTTTTTATTGATTTTAATTGAACGAAGAGGTATGGATTTTATGGTTTATTAAATACAATGCATTAAGGTTTAAGAACTGCTTTCTTGTTTTGACCTATATATGACTGCATATGTGTGCATTATCTTCTTCTTCTCATATGAATGATCCCTAATAATAAATTTCTAAACAATATTAGTATTTCAAGAATGCTATAAAATGGCAAATACACCACCTACTGAATCTTTCTGCTATTAAGATTAAAATTTTAAAAAGTTATTGTTCCAAGCAATGCGAGAATGTACTTAATATGAAAAACTATAAGAAATACGTGAGATACGAATTATTATATTCAGGGGTCGAGACGACCATCTACAAAGCTCCCATTTCATTTATTCTGTCAACAAAAATATGATTTTGCATTAAAGTTTGACTGTCCGTACTTTGAGTCGGATTTCGAGGGTCAGGAACAGGATGAAGAAAGAAAGTTGGACGTGGAACCCCGAGCCACTTAACTTTTGTCCCTTTCATAGGTGCAGCAGTCGAACGAAACGGTCTTAGGATGGGGATTGGATTTCCGGTAGACGGAAGAGCAAGTAGCAGAGCGAGAAGAGTAACGATAACAGGGTGGCAACAAGTGCTCTTAACGCTCTAACGGTTTCCCTTGCGACACCGAAGGGGGGAACGTTCCCCCGATGCGTTATTCTCAAAGGACCTCGCCCCGGGTACTCTTTACGCGACCGGTTCTGGGCGAGGAAGCAGTTGCGGGTTCGAATGGGGGTTGCAGGATGCCACAGGAGCCATCCCCCAGCGATTCGAATCTTAAGGTCTCGGCGTCTAGTCGCTAACAAAACAGAGAGGGTGTACTGGAATTTTTTACAACGCTATCGAAAGGAACTACCCTAATCTAACTGATCCTCCGATCCAAATGTCCTCTTTTCATGGATGACGGTCAGTTGAGAAACTATTCACCGAATTAGTATTCATGGGCAAACAGTAGCGTGTGCGTAAATACGTGTGAGTTAACTATGGAACGTATTAAGAAAACGCAATTTTCAAACGACCATAACTCCTACTACAGTGAATGTATTTCATTGAACTTTATTTCTGAAGTAGAGATCATGGATACCTACGAAAAAGTATTAGACAACATTTCCGTACAGCGTCACACAAAGTGATTAAAATCAAAAACGAATTTTTAAGAAAAATCGACAGGGGGTAGGTGCCTAAATATTTCGGTGAAAATGAGATATTTCAAATCGTTCTAAAAAAATTATTTTTAGTTGCAGGTCTTAATTGCGATCATTTTTGGTGAATACACATACCCTCGAATTCCTACGCACTTTCGAGAAAAAAATTAATTACTGAAATGTCTGACCAGGCGTCGATCTATTCCCCTGAAATTTTTCAGCGAAATTGAGAAGTTTCAAGTCAGTCTGGAAAAATTATTTTCGATTGCAGGGACAATTGCCATCATTTTTGGTCAATAGACGTACCCTCGAAATCCTAACCATTTTCGAGAAAAAAATTCCCTACCGAAAATATAATGTTTGACCAAACATTGATATGTTTCCCTGAAATTTCATGCGTATGTTTAAAAAATCATAACTTTCGAACGGATTGGACGATTTTAATGTTTCAAGAGGCAAAAAACGTGTATTTTAGTCAAGAATATGTAGAAATACTAACAATATTGAAAAAGTTGTTCCTTGACCCTGTAAAGTGAGAAAAACCCCATAAACATGGTCGAAATTTCTAACGACCATAATTCCTACATTAGTGAATATATTTCAATGAAATTTGGGGGGGAAGTAGAGCTCATGGGTACCGACAGAACTACTAAAAATCAAAAACGAATTTTTAAGAAAAATCGACAGGGGGTTAATGGGTTAAGAACCTCTAGACTGATGCATACTAGGTAGTATTATTCATTATTCCTATTTTTTCAACGAGATCAGTTTTATAGAACTTTCGAAGGTTTAAATAATCATTTTATAGAGAACAAGTTTTCAGATTTCTTTCACCACAAAGGTGGCGTAACCTCTTAAACCAGTCCGACGCTGTGGAATGTGCGGCAGCAGCCTCATTTCCCGACCTCCCCCTACCACGTCTCCTTGACTGCCGCCATCACCCTCCTCTTTTGCGGCATCTTTGCCCTGCTCGTTTTTCCGACCTCCTTAGCCGGTTCCTTTAAAACCCACCTTCATATCCAGAAGAGGCTCGGCGCAGTTCCTGCTTAATGACTCGTCTCTCTGCTTTCCAACCCCCTTTTGCAGAGTTCTACTTACGCGAGTCCGGTAACATAACTGTTTGCAGTTCGCGATACGTGCAATTCCGCAGAATTCTGTCATACGGTTATTCCGTGCTCCCTCGCGACAGGTTTACTCTTAATTTTTTCAAGGAACACGAATGTTTCAACGTTTGTACCAAGCAGTTTGTCGCTAATTTAAGAAACGAACTGGTTTGAATTCTATGCTTTTAAAAGGTTCCTTTAATTCGTGAAAATATTATAAAAAATATTGCAGGTAGAAGAGAACTCGTATTAAAGACACAACAAATATACACAAAAGAATAATAATAAATATAAACATTTTTAGCTATCCTCCTGCTCTTTGCATCCAACACAAAAACGATATTAATTAGAATTTGTTCATCGAATCCTCCCTTCTCCTGTTGATTAAAAAATAACCCATTCTAGTGTCTCTTTTCTTTTTTTACTTTATATGGTAACCATCTTCAAATAATAGGCTTTTAGAGAAAGGATCTGTCGATGGCCTGAATAGCTTGGTTGAACAAATTCAGCCTTCGTTCGCGGGCTCAACAGATCTATTCTTCTGCCGTTTCGATGTCTAAAGCCTTCTGTTCCTCTTTTTTTTTTCCAAACGACAGAACGATACAACCGCAGAGTGTAGTTCGGAGTTGCGCAGGACGTCCGTGTTCAAACGAACGCTGTACAAAGCTTGCGTTCATCGTTCGCGAATTCGTCGACGCGCTATCGGGAACGTGGAAAATGTCATTTGTTCCTGATTCGATTAATTTCGTTATATCGTTACTCTTTCCGCCGAGTCGTAATATTCTTTTTCATTGTGAAATCGAGTTTCGGAAACACGACGATAAAGTTTAATTAAATATTTGTTTGAAATGAATCGTTGGGGATAAATCGACGCGAAGCTTACACCGTGTTTGATTTGGAATTTGGGTTAACGCGATTCATTTTACCCTTATCTGTATTACGGGGTTGTTCATTACACGAAAAGCGAAGTGACACGCTTGACAATTTAATGTACTATCGCATCGTCGTTGAATCTGTTAACATCGTTGGGTTTTCCGATCAACAGCAAAGATATTCGGATCGACGTCCAAGCGTTTTGCTATGTTAACAAAAGATCCAGGGACACGATACCGAGATCTCCTTAATCCTTACACGGTATTAACTGTATGGAAACTAACATTCAAGTTAGATATTAGGAATACATTAAATCTCGAGGTCTAATTGCTTTATTTTCCATAAACAGTACCTTGTAGTCCCAAATATTGATTCTTTACCCCTAACTATTATTACTTAATAAATATACCAAGTATGTTAAAACGAATAACATCATTTGTCGAAGAGTCGAAGTCTGACAAATGGAAAATAGAGAAGCGTCGTTAATTTGCGAGAAAAAAATTTACGGTCGCGTTTTCAATAAAGAGCGTCTGCATTTTTTATTGGCAATGAAATTGATTCTGTCACAAGTTGAAGGGTTGCCATTCCCTCCCCTGTAATCGAATACCGTCGAAGACGCGAACTGCGCCCGATAGGAATTCTCGAAACGGTTCTGCGTCGGCATACGGGATACACTCATAAATTCGGTTACGTCATTACCAGGAGGCGGGTCTCGTAAATCGAATGAAATTGTTTCACGTTGGGTAAGGCGAGTACCGGCGCTGTTTTAAGGACGCGTAATATGCCCCACGACCTTCTATTCTACGTCTTTTGCGTAGGTTAGGGAGGTCTGGAAGAGCGGTCGATCTGTCAGGACCAGACGCCTCGCGAAGGGTGCAACTTGATTTACACTTTCCTTATACTCCACTCCGCTCCCTATTCGCGGAGAAGAAACGTGCAATTTTTTGACTGAACGGAGAACAGCCCTGTGGGGGGTGCTTCAAGTTTCGAGTGCAATTTTCGTTGCTTTAACATTCTTTCGAAACATTTCTGCGTCTTTAGTTGTATCTTTCAGTTACTTATGGGGCGTTTATATGCTCATTCTTGAGTATCCGGTTCTGTTTAATCCTGGGTTGCCTATAGTGCATTCTTTGTTCATGTTTCTCACCGATTTATTTCCATGGAAGTAGTTTGTATTTTCATTGTTAATAAATCATAGGGTAGAATGGGTCGAGAGGATTATTCCCAGAGATTAAGTGGCATTTATTAGCCATATCACGTAAATTCATCCACGTGTCGTTAAGACTTTAACACTTTGACTGCCACGTCACTCATATATGGATGACAGGATTTATATGGAATTAGAAAAATTAATTCTCGATTGATAAAATTTTTAAAATTGATCTTTGGGGGAAAAAAATCCTTGAAGGTCGTCACCAGCCGCTTTTGAACGTTTGATTTTGCGGGAGAATAGGTCAGCGTCCTTCGAACGGAATAACAGTTTTCTCGCCAGCCATTTTTCATCGCGTTCCATCCCTCTAAGTCTTTCACCGACCTTCTTTCTTCGTTTCCTCCTTCCTCATTCTTCATACCGTCGTCTCTTCACTTTTTGCCGTCGGTTCGGAGTAAACTCCTTCACAGCCGTCTCCCGTATTCTGCAAAGCCTGCGGGACCCGGCAGGAAGAAGTCACCGCGACGGAACGTCTGCTTTCCGTTCGAGGGACACAACGGACACGGACGCCGACCGTAGGGTTCCGTTCTACACGAACCATCTGCTTTCTGTTTCAGCGTGAAGACGGACATGGGCGCCAGCGGTGCGACATCCAGACTCTATATAGCGAACGCGAATAAAAAGGACAGCGGGAACTACAGTTGCGCCCTGGCGGATGTGGCGGCAGCCACCACGGTCTCCGTCCACGTGTTAAATGGTACGTATCAACCCTTTTTCACTGCAAACACAGGTCCGTGACTGCTTTTGTTTGCGTATTATTCATTAATATTTGTTTGTACTAATTCCAAGGAAACGAATAAAAGAGTTCAGACCTTCTCTTTTGTACAGTGTTTACGTTCGAAAATTTTTTTTTAATTTCTCCAAATACCTCGTATTTTTAAAATTTATTTAACAGAGATTTTGAATACGACTGAACAAAATTTTTATATAATACTTTGAAATATTTTTCAATTGTGTGTTTTATACTTATGTAGAATTCTTACCTTCCATGCAATTTTAATCATACAAGCAACCTTTGAGTAGTGGATGATAATTTGAAAAATAGGGTGTAGATTATTATATAATACAGTTTGGAATAACCGTGTTTTCGTTTCTCGTTTGTACTTCAATTTTACGTTTCTGCGATCCTCTATCGTTCAAAGGAGCTCAGTACTAATCTCTAACTTATGCAAATTGTTATTATCCAAATGCTCTACCATGGAAACCGTCTCGTCTCGTATCACGAAAATTCTATCATGATCTGGATTAACTCGAATTATCAGACTTTGCTCCAACATTAACAGTTTGTACACACATTACAATAACATCGAAAGCCTGCAATTTATAGAAACAAACTACGAGGTAATTTATTAATTGAAACCAACGGTAAAATTCGTAAGAATTTGTAACTAATATTTCTACGTTACTATTGCATAGTTGCAATCTACGTGACTGTACCTCAAATTCAGATCAATCGCCGTTAATTTTTATATTCACGAAAGATCACTTCATCTATATTCATGCAATGTTCGGAATTAAGATCGAAACGAGAGCCCTTTTTGCGTTAGGTACGCCCAATGGCTCCGTGTATTTTTCACGGCGGGCTTTGAACACGCGTCAAAGCGAATTATGCGAGGTAACTGAAAATTATGCACAGCGGACACGCGTATTCCAGCATTCGGTGTCCTGTCTCGTCGGGGGGGCCGGTAGCGAAACAAAAACATGGAAAAGTTACGCGACGCGTCCAACCGAGCCTGAAAATTCATTCACGGTGACGTTTTAATAACCCAGCCAGTGCCTTTTTAAGTTCGAGAGTGAACTTCGGCCGAAACAAAACCGCGAACGCCCAAGGAAACGCGAGGGAAGTCGGTTGCGATCGCCGCAAAAGTTTAACAACGCGGAACAGCTCGAGTGTCGGAGGTATTTTACTGCAGAAAGCAAACTGTTAGACACTGGAATTCCAACCCCCTTGACTGCTAGTCGCGGCGGCTGCAGATTAACTAAAAGAATTTACGCGAATGGGAATGGCTTTGATCAAAAGTATTTTCTACATTTTTTCTATAACAACCGTGTACAAAGATCTAAAATTTAATAATTTTAATCGTATCGTAAAGTTAGATTTATTCAACGTCTTTCGCTTTTTGACTGCTAAAGTCATCATAGGTAGTTCCGTGAAAGGGCTAGTAGACTGAATATTACATTAATATTGACTCGTAGCAGTTTTTAATCGAATACCAAGCGAAATATGCGTATTTATCAAAGAGATATTTTATTTTTTAAAAATGAAACTATTTTATCGATGGTTGATAATAAAATCGGAGGCAAACAGATATTCAGACAAGAAATTATTGCTCTGAAACGTAGTTTAGTCGATCGTTAATATTCTCTTAGGAGAGAAATCATTGCATCGAGGAGGAACTACTTTTCGTTAAAAATGCACCGCCTTTTGAAGAAAATATTTCAAGCACGCTAATTGGAGGACGGTGATTCCGAGTTTTCAGATACTTGTTTACCGCGTCTCAATTCGCGGAGGCTGCGCAGCGGGCTGACAAATGTCTCGAGGACTTAATTTCCAACACTGACTCGAGTACAGTACGCCGACGGTGTTTGGGGTTGCCATTGCCGTTTGCATTTTCCGTGTACTTCGCTGTTCGGCAGAACAACCATTTCGTGTAGTTAAATCCTCGTCTCTAATCGTCATTTTCAAGCTACGAAAGAGAATTCACGGCGGTGGCGTGTTCGCGTCGCATTGAAAATTCGACGCTCGAACGAGCAATTGTCGAACGTCGAATAATGGCGGCAATATTCTGCGCGTAAATTTTCAAGCGATTAGCATCGTTATCAGGAGCGATCGAACGTCGTTGTTTTACGATGCGTGAGTCGCAATTTATGTCGGATAATTTCATTTTTCCGAAGGCGGTGGGTGCCAGAAGTGCACGTTTTTCTTAACGAAACACTAGACACGCCATTTATTACTTCTCCGCGTCTTCTCCTTGCTCAGCGTTTTCCCTGAACTGTGTCCAATCTTCCACACGGACCACCTATCCTCTTTCCGCTTACTCATATTAAACTTCAGACCCGTAGTGGTCCGCGCGAAGAAGATAAGTGTCCGCTCGAGCAACAAAAGCATCGTAGAAAATTCTATAATTTTGCGAGTGGCGGTGCAATTTTATATCGTCGATATATGCCACGAATACCCTAAACTCTGAACTCTGAACTCTGTACTCTTATATTGCATAAAAATCGAAGCTATTTATTGTGACAAGCCTTCCATAATTCTTGCCTTATTCCATGACTTTAACAATTGGATTTATCAGGTTGCATTAACCCAACGTGTATCCCTAAATTTCTTATCAATCCTGAAGGTATACCACAATTTTGGTGACTGCTTCTTGGAATTGCAAAAACATTCACCTCAGAATTGTGTCTCTGTTTCAAAGTATCTGCATTATGTCTCTATATAGTAAAATAATTATCTACAGGGAATCGAATTAATTTACCACATCCCGGTTTTAATATTCTCAACGCGAATGGAAACCGTGTACGGTGGACAAAGTTAACATTAGCGCAACCTTCCACCGACGAAAACTTTATTACACGTACAGCTCTCGTATTAACCAAACTACGAAACGTGGCCGGTGTCAGTAAACTATCCAAGTATCCGTATACCGAGCCGTTATAAGGTTTCGAGCTGCGCAAACTGTAATATACAGCAGGCTCGCTTAGCAGCTTATCGATGGGGTCATCTATCGAGTCTCTAGCCCAGCGTACGTCTGAAGTTATAGCGAATTCAGGAGGCTCTGTTCCTCACTGATAACGGTGTTTGGGTGCTCCCCAAGGGGAACGAAGGGTTACACCCACCCTTCACCTACGCTGCCTATCGATATATAATTTTCCAGACTTTTGCACCCTCGATAATTGATTTCCCATGGCTTTTCAACGGCACCGCTGTCTATTATCAGTGGCACCGCGCTGCCTGTTTCTTTCCTCGCTCCTTTTCCGTCCCGTTTATGGAAACCAAGCCGCGACGCAGTCATGAAGATCCTGCCGATGACGGCTGCCTCGATTGCTATTCGCGGACCACCCCCGTTTCATCTCTATTTTCATTTCCCTCGAGACGTTCGCGTAACGGGCAACGCCCTCGAACGGCAGCTACTCCAAGAAAATAGTCCCCCTCCGCCTGTTATTAAGCACACTGGACCGAAGAGGCACTTGCAACAACCGTTGAGCAACTTCCGGATCGGTGGAACCTGTCTCTCGTGTCGTGTCGGAAATACTTGCTCGAAACTTATCGTCGGGGACACTTTTTAACCAGACGGTTTAGAGCTTTATCTTGTTATTCGAGAGTAAACGGAGTCGCGAAGTTCACGAATCCGGGAAACAGTGTGATTAGGAGTGTAGTAGAAATTCGTATAATTTGGCAAACAAATTATTTCGTTAAGTTTGAGGCACGGTTTGGATCACGTCGCGTGCCTATTAGAGTAAAATTCAACAAATTAATATTCTTGATTTTCGTTTTGTTGTTTAGTAGGTACCCATGAGCTCTACTTCCCCCCAAAATTTCATTGAAATATATTCACTACTGTAGGAGTTATGGTCGTTTGAAATTTCGACCACGTTTATGGGGGTTTTCTCACTTTACGGGGTCAAGGAACAACTTTTTCAATATTGTTAGAATTTCTACACATTCTTGACTAAAATACACGTTTTTTGCCTTTTGAAACATTAAAATCGTCCAATCCGTTCGAAAGTTATGATTTTTTAAACATACGCACGAAATTTCAGGGAAACATATCGATATTTGGTCAGGCATTATATTTTCGGTGGGGAATTTTTTTCTCAAAAATGGATAGGATTTCGAGGGTACGTCTATTGACCAAAAATGATGGCAATTGACCCCTGCATACGAAAATAACTTTCCAGGGAGATTTGAAACTTTTCAATTTCGCTGAAAAATTTCAGGGGAATAGATCGACGACTGGCCAGATATTCCAGTAATTAATTTTTTTCTCGAAAATGCGTAGGATTTCGAGGGTATGTGTATTCACCAAAAGTGATCGTAGTTGACCCCTGCAACTAAAAATAATTTTTTTAGAACGATTTGAAATTTTTCAATTTCGCCATAAACCTAACTTTACGGTGTTAAGAAACAACTTTCCCAATAGTCATAGAATTCTTACACATTCGTCACCAAAATTCGCGTCGTTTGCATTCCGAACAACACGCCTATCAAAATGAATGCTACATTTTACGACTTCCTTTTTATTCTACTCGAACGAGGTCTTCCCATGTCAAAGGAATAATAGAATTTCAGGAACGTGCAACCGAAAATTCATAAATTTACCAGTATACGCCGGAATTTCGAAATCATTCGATATTGGAAATGTGTATACAGGCTACCTATACGTTACAATGTAGCGATCGTTCGCTCGTCGCACACCTGCTCGCTGTTTCGAGGCCAGAGACCACGCGGCCGCTGTGGTTGCGAACGGGTTAATCGCGTTTCTCGCCGTTGCCATGATCTTCAGCCCAGGCCTAATTCATCGTCGTGTTTACACGCGATATCCCCGGCCCGGGCGTAACAGGTGGAACAAGGTGAACCTTTTCAAAACAAGGTAACTCTTAAAAAGTAACGCGTACCCTCCTCCCACGGCTGTTCCCGGGATTCCTTGTTCCCCGATTCGCGGGGGCTGCGGGACCAAAGCTCCGTACAACTAA